AAACTTAGTGGGGCCTTCAGCATGTGATGTATTAGTGGAGCATGAGCCCAGTAGTGTGGAGGGTGGGGGTTAATGACAGACTTGAGGGAGAAAACATGATCCTTGTCTCAATCATAGATGACGCAAAGACTATTCCACCTGTTATGTAGAAACCCAATATCACAGGCGTTTGTGCACACACACTCACACATGCAAACATGCACACACACGCACACACAGAAAAAACCCCTCCATATTGGGGTAGTCTGTGATACTGACACTCATACACATAGTCACATTCCCAGTGGTAGTTCAGGGATTTGTTACCGTGTGTGTGTGTGTGTGTGCATGTTTGGTTACGCATGTGCTATAGCTACGTCTCTGTTCTCAGCTCTCAAGATCACACCCATCTTTCACAATGCAAAATGCTACCTGATAAAGGCCTTTATTTACTTGACCACTCCTTCAGAGGCATAAACTGACTCGTTCTTTTCAATGTTTTTTTTTCTTTTTGTCTCACACTCATCTTATAACCATGATAGGCTTGTTACCCCTCCCCCTGCAGCTTGAGCTGGATAAGTGGAAGAAAAGAAAGATGGATTAGTGGATGGATGGTAATAAACAAGCCATAAGGGCAAATGCTACTACTTCACAGTGGACAAAACAAGAAATACTTTGCCTGCTTGTGTTCTTCTATGATTAGATGCGATGAACTACCTTAAAGGGAACATAGCGCCTGACTGATTATTCACTCCAGGTTCTCATGGCATTTCATGAGCTCAATTAAGGTAGTGAATGACTCCTGTCACCCTTTAACTTATGGTGTTTGTTGAATCGGCACCTTCTTTCTATTTACCTGAAGCCAACAGGTTTGTTTTGTTAAAAAAACTAAAATGTATTAGGTACTTCACCAACGTTATACAGCTGCAGATCATTAAAAACACAGTTAGTTTCCCCAAAACCTCACAAGCTCCAGTATTTCTGTGCTTGGTCTGGGTCTGTCAAATGAAAAGGTTCCCAGTGAAAACACAAGTAACACAAAGCTAAAGTACAGTGAGGCAAACAGATCATTATACAGCACCTGAGAGCTTTGTATTTACACTGCGGTCTATTCAATGAGCAGCTGAAGTTCAAGCATGAAAAACCAAAGCATTTCAGCTCTAAGCCAGTGAAGCACTTTGGCCCTGGAGCTTCTTCATTCACCACCTTACAGGTTTTAACCAAAGGTTATGTGATCTAATACTTGCCATTTACACACTAATAACATTGTTTTTTGTTTGCATTGGTAAGAAAACCTCAGAATAAAAGCTTTTCTGGCAGTAGAGTCATTTGTTAGCACTGTGATTAAGTGTGCAAATGTGTGCGTTCGTGTTTTAGAGCAGGAAGAAGTGTAGAGAGGTCAACTGGATGTGACCCTGACGCACCTCTGACTTAAGATAAGGAGGTTGCAAACACACACGTACAAACTAACTTACATTTCCTGAAAGACTTATCTAAGGACTCTCTCTCTATCTTACAAAGTCAAGGCAAAGAAAACAGGTATTGTTGTTGAAAAGGCGCTCTTTTCCTTTCAAATAACTTTAGCATGTATGTTTTTACTATTTAACAAAGACAGACACCCCTCTTATACTTTCTACAGCTGCAGTTACTCAAAGATCTGAGAAAATGTTGCCATTAGAGAATGCACACCAGGCTGCACATGTTTCACTTCTCAATTTGTAAATGTTAAATGTCAAAAACACATCACCCAAATGACAGAGAATCTGTAAAAAGAATTACTGATTTTCACTTCATCTCAGCAAATGCTCTTCACTGTAATAGAGCAACCAATGGACAAATGACCAGAGCAGACACAGAGGAAGGAGCAGTGGAGAGAAATATCCATTTCTATCTGAATTCCAATAAAAGCATGCACACACACACACACACAGAGTGGGTGAGCCGAGAAAGACCCTGAGTTTACTTCCCTCTATGCAGAAGACTGAGTCACAGGTAACATCACATACAGTGCTGTGAAAACGTATTTGCTGCTTTCCTGATTTCTTCGTTTTTTGCTTGTGACATTTAACTGCGATAAATATGCAAAAAATTAAGAAACCAGGAAGGGGCAGATATTTTTTTCACAGCACTGTATATCACAGAACAGTTTACCATATCTATGCTGCCTAAGCCCAGCGGGATTTAACTGAGGCTGTCCACTGAGTGCACAATACACTGATAGAAACTCTGCAATCAAAGAAAAGTCTGCCTTCTAAAGAATCGTTTGTCATGTCAGCCACTTGCTTTTCTCCTCTGTGATCAGCATCTCCACATGGTTGCTGTAATAATACCTGATAAAAACAGTAATTGCCTTCATGTCTTTATGTTCAGTGTTTTCTCTGTCCCATTGCTTTTAAATCTATGTATATTTACAACAGGCTGTTGTCAGGTACAAGGGCAGAGTTTCAGTGCTATTAGAAAGACGTATGAGGGCTTATGAACCCTCACCTCCATCGTCTAAAGTAGTAAAATACTTCTGCCTGGCTGCTCACTTTCCCTCGTCAGCTGAGCTGAATACAAAACAACGTAAGGAATAGGAGAGGCCTCGTGTGTGTATGTGTGTGTGTGCACGTTGGCCCTCGTCTATTAAATGGTCTTTCAAAGAGTCCTTGAGCTTACCTGCCAAAACCAGACCCAGCAATATACAGGGAGTTGTAAAACCTGGCAGTGTGTGTGTGTGTGTGTGTAAGTGAGAGAGCATTTGTGTGTGTCCACCACAATGTCAGCCAAGATACTAACAGCTTTTATTCCGAGGCTTGGTCTGCTGCCATCTTTTACCTTCTGACGTCCTACCAAGAGGATGGATAAGTAAATGAGAAGTGAGAGAGAAAGTGAGACCGACAGAGGAGGAGGAAACAGAGGAGATTTGTAGTTGTTTAATTTGGAGGGATCAGAAATGCAAGAAAGTCCTGCAGGCTTTCCTTTGTCATCTGTCGGTTTATTTTAACAAGTCAATTTTACCAAATGATGTTGAGATGCACTTAACACTGGTTGCTTAGTTTATTCAGACACTTCTCCAAACCCTGTTACAGCAGTGCAGTCTATTAGTGGGGGTTCATTTAACACATAATGGAAATAAGTTATGTGATTTAAAAAGAAAAATGATGTAAATCTAACATTAGTCTTATCACAGCTGCCTGTAATGACCTTAAACAAACTACCGTTGGCTCAATGCTCAATAACTAGCTAGTTAATATGAACTAATTCATTCTCACCTATGCTTTAATAATTAAGAATTTCTTGTCTTGTTATCAGCGTTCTTCCATCCAGATCAAAAATACAAACTGAAATTCTC